GTAAGCCCATCCACTCAGGCTCCGCGCCCTCTTCAAAGTCCTCCCTCCACCTTTGCCTGATCCTTGATTAGCTCCTGTGATTGGTCCTGCTGCCCAGAAACCAGTGTGTATGAGGTAGCATACCTTTGTAGACCTGGCCTTCCATCCATGCAGAATCAGGATATGGACCTTACCCACAGCCACCTTCATTCATCTGCCAAGGCTGCTTTCTGTTTCAACAGCTATTCACTCAATAAATACTGATTAAGTGTTTCCATGTGAAAAAGCCCAGGACTGGCACCTGTGGGAATACGCAGTCACCCAGAGGACTTCGGAGGGAAGAGAACACAGTTCAAGAGCAGAAGCAGCACTTCTCACATCTCACCTCAAAATGAAATCAGCTAATTTTTACAGATATGGACCTGGAGGGTCAAGAGGAACTGGCCCAAGGTCACAGCATGAAGAGTCAACACCTGACTCCAGGTCAATTGTCTCTCCCTGTGTGCACATACACTTAAGGGTGTGGCAAGACCTATGTGAGTGAACAGAGGCCACGGTCATGGTAAAAAGAACATCTGTCTTGGGAAAAGCTGTAAGTCACCTCCTTGGAGGCTGGAGAGATGGCTCAGCAGTTAAGAACACTGGCTGCTCTTCCAGAGGACAGGGTTCGGTTCCCAGCACCCACCTAGAAGCTAACAGCTGTACTTCAAACACCTGTCCTTAATTTCAGTTCCAAGGGATCCGATGCCCTCTTCTGTCCTCCAAGGGCAGCAGGCATGCATGTGGTACACTTACCTACATGCAGGCGAAACACTCATATACATAAAATAATTTTTTTTAATCTTTAGAAAAGAATGGGCACCTCCTCAGGTTCTGTGACATAGCCCCTTTATATGTGGAGGTATCGGGACCAGCCCCAAGAACTGTCCCAAAGCATTCTTTGGAGAAGGGACAAGCACAGGCACCCCTCTGCAGCTCCTTGAGTCACGCTTCCTGCCTGCTCAGGCTTCCACCTGCATTCACCTCCAAGGAATCAGTTCCTACCACCGCATTTCATAAGAACCTGTAAGAGCTCTGGAGGGGTAGCAGGGCAAGAATGCATCATGTTCACAGATGAGGAAAAAATGGAAGTATTCCAAAAACAGAAATCTGGTCTAGCTCAGTCAGTATCCCATTTCTACTCAGCAGCACACGCCTGCAATTCCAGTTATGGCAGGGGCAGAGACAGGCTGATATCTGGAGCTTACTGTCCAGCTTAGCCAAGTCAGTGAGCTCCAGGTTCAATGAGAGTCCATGTTCCAAAAAACAAGATGGAAGGGCTGGAGACATGACTCGGTAGTTAACTGGTTACTTTTCCAGAGGACCTGGGTCCAGTTCCCAGCACCCATACGGTGAGCAACAATCACCTGAAACTCCAGTTCTAAAGGATATGACGCTCTTTTCTGGCCTCCAGTCACCAGACACACACACGATACGTTTATATACATGCAAGCAAAACATTCATACATATAAAAAAGTAAAAATGAAATTTAAAAAATAATTAAATATGGTAGAAGGCCAGGTGTGGTGGCACACACCTCAGAAGGCAGAGGCAAGGGAATCTCTGTGAGTTCTAGAAGTCTACATAGAGAGGTGAATTCCAGGCCAGTCAGGGCTACATAGCAAGATCGTATCTCCAAAAAAATAAAATAAAAAGTGGGAAGAAGACACTCGACTTCAACCTCTGGCCTCCACACACATGTGTATATATGTATATGTGTATATACATGTGTACACACACACACAGCTCAGAGTACGACTTGCCGACAGTCTCACCAATAGACATGTTGCTCCAGGGCTAAAAGCAGGCAGTCTTTTGCCTCTCATCCAGTAACCTTTGACTCCCACTGTACCCTTAACTCTACCCTGCCTCCTTCAGGAATGGTCAGCTCTGCCTACTTGTGTACTCTGGTCCCCCTCTGTACCCACCCCCTGGTCAGTAGGGACAGTAGCAAAGTCTACAAGTTGCTTTAAACCTTATATAATACTCCCTCCTTATATCCCTATCATCCTGCTGAGAACCAGGAAGGGTCGACATTCTGCAGATGAGGAAACTGAATCCACAAACGGCAACCTACAGAATGAACAGCTGGACTGAAAAAAAAAAAAAAAAAAAAAAAAACTTGGACCATGTTTTCCAAGTCAGAAACAGAGGGCCTTTGGTAGGTGTCCACTATCAACGTTATCAAAGCAGGTGTGGGTTGCCTGACACCAAGACCCTCTGACTCTAGATGCCAGGCCCAGATTTCTTGCCTCCCTCACCAAGGAAGGACAAGTGGAGGAAGCTACCGGTCCCAAACACTGCTGCCTCCCTCCCCAGCCCCAGCTACTTCTCACCCTGGTTTGTTCATCCTCCCCTGTGTCCAGCTCATGGAGCTGCTGGGAGTAGCAACTGGGACAATCTAGGAGATATAATCCTCATCATGCTGGCACACATCAGTCAATACCAGTGCTTGACACTGTTACATATGCCCCAAGATGACCAATTTCCCAGATGACCTGTTCCTATGAAGTCAGAGTTCTGGGAATCTTTGTTTCTCTCAAACTACATGCAATATATTCATTCATCCATTCATTCTGTAATACTGAGTAAGTGTGTAGGCCCAAGGCTCTGTGTCTGTCCTCCAGGAACTGAGTCCCACCCTTACAGAGCCTGGCTCTTAGCACCATCGTCAGAGCTTTCCAGGCACAAAGTTGGACCCTGGGCAGGGACTTCCACTCTCCATGGAAGATCCCAAGATTTCACCCTTCTAATTGCACTCCTCCTGTTCGATTTCAAATCTATTCTCAAGAAGTCCTCTCCTTGAAAGAGAGGGAGAGATTTGCTGCCCTCCCTGTCAATCTCCAAACAGCTCACACAGTTTTCTGCTCCAGCAACCGCTCAACTGTCTCAGGGAATAAGCTCATTGAATGAGGGACTGGGGACAGACCCTCAGCCCCCAGCTCTCCCAGGGGAGGGGGAGGGGGACTTTAAGCTATTGCTAACATTACAAAGAAGCCAGTTCAAAGGCAAAGGACCCTCGGAAGTGCATGTGGCTGTATAAAACGGCATAGAGCAGAAGCCCCAGGCACAGGGGCCCCCAGGTGGCTCTTTAAGGGAGCCCATTGTGGTGTGTTTTAAATTACCTCTGCTTGTCTGATGAAGTGAGTAAGAGGGCACCTTTTCAGGGCTTAGGATTCCTGAGTGAGCTAATACAGGATGCCTTTAGCTCAAAAAAAAAACTTCAGTAGGCTCTCTAAACTCCCCCCCTTTTAAGTTTAAAAAAAGGGAATGAATGTTACCATTTTTGGACATGAACATTCTCCCTCTAGCCCAGCCCTAACCGCACTATCCAGAGGGACGCGCCATCCTGCCCCCCTATTCCCAGATCACGGGGGGGGGGCGCACCGGGGGAGAGAGTATGAATTGGGGAGGGACCGGACCGGAACGAGGGGGGGCGGGGAGCGGTGTCCGGGTACGTGGCCGCCTGGGGCAAGGGCTCACTGCTCAGGCAGGAAGCCGCGACAGGGCTGGGGTGCCCCCCCCGCAACAAGCGTGGTTTCTGACCTCTTCCTGCCACTGGCCACTACACTTGGGTCCCATCGCCAACTCCCCAGCCCAGCCGGGGTAGCAGAGCCCGAACGTCGCTGATGGCCCCGGGATACAGCTCCATGGCTAAACAGGGACCCTCAAAAAACAGGGACCGACTCCCAATATCTCCGAAGATCATCCCTCGCCCCGGAGTCCCTCTACTCGAGCCAAAGTGCCCACACTCGGTTTCACCAGGTCGGCGGAGAAATGCAAGGTTTGCAGCTACCAGCCCACGGAGTTAGGCAATAAAACGGTCCGCCGTCCTGACCCCGCCCCCACAGAGCCCTCGGGGTGCCAGCTAACGCCCCCCGATTTTCTCCGCCCCAGCTGCATTCCGGCGGGTCCTCCTCCAGGCAGGTCCGGAGGCGCCCACCAAGTCCCCAGCACCCGCTTTGCCGACCGCCAGCGGGCCGGGGCTGGGAACACAGTCCAGGGCAGCTGGCCCCCAAGGTACTGAGCCCTGGGCGGCCCAGGAAGCACGCTGCCACCGTACGCCAAATGGAGGCGCCAGGAAGAGGGGAAGGGAGGGGAAATCGATCGCTCGCAGCCATGGAGCCTGGGTCTCAGCCCCAGCCTCCCCAGCACCGCGCCCGCGCCCTGCCCTCACGGGGATGGCTGCTGCAGCAGCGGGGTGGCCTGATCGTCCGCCGCAGGGCGACCTGACCACCGGCGGTGCCACCTCCCCGCGCTCCAGCTCGCGGTTCACGGGCTCCGGGGCAGGGGCGCTCCGCTCTTCCGCCCTGTGCCTGAAACCCAACACCCCACCTCGCAGTGGCCGCGCGGTCCCCTACCCGACCCGTGCGCGCCGGGAACCGGTTCCCAGCCAGTAGCCCCCGACTACGGCGGGCCCAGCGGATCCCGGTTGAGGGCTGCGCGGGTGGGGACGGCTGACCTTTCTCTGCTGCTTCTCCCAGGCCGGATCCAGGAGCAGGTCCCGGTCCCAGTCCTCTTCGGGCTGCATGTAGTCGTTGGTCTGCTGGGAATCATAATGGTCCATGATGGTGCGCGCGTTCTAGGAGCTGGATGCTGGATTTCTTCCTCCACCTTCTCTCGGGACGACGGCTGCTGCTACCCAGGCGCGGGGAGGAGAGGGAGGGCTGTGCTGGCCGGGCCGGGCTCGCTCCCCGGCGCCCGGTTCCGCCGCGACGCTGCAGGCGGAGACTGCTGCTTGCGGCGACAGCGGCGGCTGGAGCTCCCGAACTGCCTGCCTCCGGCTGGCGCTCGGACTTAATCTCCACGCACACTGAGCAAGGCGGACACTAGCGCTGCGGGAGCCAAGGCGGGAGGGGGGGGTGGGGGAAGGGGCAGAGCCCTCCCGAGGTTCTTCATTGGCCAGGGCGAGTTGCCCAAACTTCCCCCCCATCGCCTCTCATTGGGAATTCCTGGCATCCGTCAGGCGGGCCTCCTTGCATATAGGTGGACTGGGAGGCCCCCTCCCGGTGCGCACGCCACCGCCCACTCCCCGGGTTCCCACTCCCCCGGAGCTCATGTGACACCAGCTTAAGCCGAAGGGGACTAAAGCCGGGGGACGCCTTGCAGGGGACCGAGCGGCAGCGCTCCCGGGAGCCCCGGGGACTGGACCGGTTCCCTGCCGGCGGGAAGGCCCGGCACTTGGGCGCACTGGCGTTCCTGCGCCCCCACACGCGCTCCAAACCTCGGCCCCACGCGGACTGCAGAAGGGAAGCCGGAGAAACATTTCATTTTCTCTTTCTCGGGGAACCTGGGTCTGGACCAGTCCCCACCCTCGGAAGGGTGGAGAGGGCCCGCGGTAGAAAGGAATTTCCTGGGAATTTCCTGATTCCACCACCGTTCCCGCCCCGCCCCGCCCCGCCCCACACCGCCCCACACCACCCGGCTGCTCCTTGCCCTGCGGAAGCCAGGTTTGTAGCGGGCAAACCGTTCTCAGGCCACCGGTTCCCGCTTCGCCAAGGTCCTTTTCATGCTTCTATCAGGCCTGGGAGACTGCCCCGCTGAGGGCTTCCAGGATGGCAGCAGTGACGCCCGGCTTCCCAGGATCCCCACAGGTATGCCCTGTGGGCCGATAGGACTGGCTCTACCTTCTGGTGGCCAGCTTCCTCCCTCCCGGTCCTCCAGCTCCTGAGAACTAGGACGAAGGACCCTGAAATTATCTACCCATGCCACGAACCCTTCCCAAACGCATACGCGTGACAGATGAACAAACTGAGGCTTGAAGAACTGAGCTTGACCAGAGACTTAGGCTCTGGACGCCACAGGCGGGTCCTGTAACCTTTTACCTGGCATACAAAACCGTAGTGTGGTTGGATAAGGAAGGAGGAAGGCAAGACTAAACTGCCTGGTACCTGGCGGTACTCCCTGGGCTCAGTAAAAGAAGGATGGAAACTTGTTGGTTCCGCAGTGATGCATCCTGGGAGGAGGCTGGCCTCACTTCTTGGTGGTCTCTGAGATCTGAGTCTGAAAGTAATAAGTAACCCAACAGTGGGTTGTACACTATGCTGTGGACAACAGATGTGTCCGTCTTGCATCCCAACATCTAGCATGATACAGTCAGTCCTTAATATCCAGGGAGATTGGCTCCAGGACCATTGCAGATACCAAAATCTGCAAGTGCCTATCTCACAAAATGGCACAGAATTTATGTATAACCTACGTGCATCCAACCATACCGTTTAAATCATTGCCCAGGATTACTTATGAGACCTGATGTTATATGTGCTGTGTGACCAGTTATACTGTCTTGTTTAGGGATTAGAGCCGAGAAAAAGAAGTGCATGTGTTCAGCAATCCCCTGCCCTGGGATTTTTTTTGGGGGGGGGGTCTTTTTGAGACAGGGTCTCCCTCTAGCCCCAGCTGTCCTGGAATTCACTATGTAGACCAGGCTGGCCTTGAACTCACAGAGATCCGCCCGTCTCTGCCTCCCAAGTGCTGGGATTAAAGGCGAGTGCCACCACACCAGGCTGGGATATTTTTAATCTGAAGTTAGTTCAGTCCAAGATTCTGAAATCCGGAAATGGCCAGTTGTATTTATGGGATGAATATCTTGGGTCATTTGTAAAAATTGCAAAGGTTGATCAATCTGTAGGTTAGGGGAGTGAACAAGTTAGAGGAAGATGCTCACTGACAGGAAGGGCTTTGAATCCAGGTACCTGAAAGGCTACCATAGGTAGGGAAAAAAAAATGCACCTAGTTGACAGAGTGATGCTGGTGTAAGCAGATAATCAGCAGTGTTGGTCCGCACATCATTAGTCAACCACATGAGTTTATATAAGAGTTACAGTCAGCACTGTGCCTTCCCCAATCCCTGGCCGAGGAAATGCTGTGTCTGAGCCAGGGGCAGCAGATTTATGAACTATTTTATAAGCACTTCTAAACTATGGCTCTAAACCTAACATAGAGGGTGATGACAGTGCTGTATCTATTCATTCACTCAATAAACATTTTCGGAGTACCTTCTGTGTGTCAGGGAATGTGCTAGACATTATGTGCATAAAGATGAGGAAACCACAGTTTCTGCCCCACACAGTCCAGCAGAGACAGACTGGAAGCAAAAATGTAACCCAATAAGATAGAAGCAGAGAGAGATCTGATGGGTTCTGTGGGGTTGGGAGGAGCACTGAGCCCTGTGGGAAAGGAAACTTCAGGTGTAACTTTTTGGAGGAGGTGAAACTTGAATGAACATTAAGGAATGAGAGTCAGATGAGTGCGGGAGGTCATTCCAAGCAGAAGGAACAGCAGAAGTGAACACACAAGAGCAGGGATTGCATGGTGCCTAAAGGAATGCCTCACACCCCAATGTGGCTAGACTGGAAATGTGAGGTGGGGGCAAGAGACAGGGCTAGAGAGGAGTTTAATGTGCTATGTTAAGTGAAGATCTGAGGAAACAGGCTGACTGGAAGCTGTAAGACTAGTTGCAATAATCCAAGGTAGAATAGAAAAAAAAAGTTAATAGCGGTAACACTTGGGGATAAACTGAAAGACATGGGAGTTTAATTGGATAGAAAGAGGAGAGAGAAGAGGGGGTTTTAGTTGTTTTTGTTTTGAAGATCCAATCTGGAGCAGACCATGTGGTTTACCTGTAACAGATAATTCAGAAAATAAGCCAAGGTCCAGAGAGGTAGAAATTCCTCCAAATTTGCGTGATGAGACCTAGATCCATGCCTTGAACCTAGTGACTTTCAACACTCATATATTTTATTCCCTGCCCCTACCATGGGATGTATGACAATGCCAAGAGTCGTCGTTGGCTATCACAACTCGTGTGTTATTATTGACATCTAGTAGATAGAGGTTGGGGATGCTGCCCGAAGCCTACATTAAACAGGACAGCCTCCCTCTCCATGACAGTGAATTTTCTGGCTCAAAATGTCAGTAGTGGCTGGGCGTGGTGACTCACGCCTTTAATCCCAGCACTGGGAAGACAGAGGCCGGCGGATCTCTGTGAGTTCAAGGCCAGCCTGATCTACATAGTGAGTTCCAGGACAGCTGGGGCTACAGAGAGACCCTGTCTCAAAAAGACCAAAAAAAAAAAAAAAGTAGTGCTGAGGTTCAGACCTGCTTCAACTATGGATTTGTAGATTGGGAAGTCTGGTAACTGGGGGCTGGGGAAGGAGTGCAACCAACTGACATGGAATAAGAGAAAAGGATTGAGAACAGGGTCGTGAATTGAGTTTAAACACGGTTCTCGGGAAAGCAGTTTGGCTACATGGCTTTGACCTCGGGAAACAAAAGTGAACATCATCTGCATATGGGTAGTACTGACACCATGAGACCATTGGTAACAGATGCCAACATGGAATAAGAGGACCAAGGCAGAACCTTGGCACACAACACTTAGAAGGAAGGAAAGTGGGGTTGCTCAGTGATAGAGCACCTGCTTCACATATATGAGGCCCTGGGTTTGATCCCCAGCATAGCAAATAAGGGGAGGAAAAGGAAAGGATGAATGAATGAAGAGAAACGAGAAAATAAAGATCAAGAACTCATGAAAGAGACAGAGCTGGTGGTCAGCAAAGAATAATGAGAGCTTGCTACATAATTGTGCCACAGAAGTAAAGGGGGTAATTCTCAAAGTGAGAAGAATGCTGGACCACAGCAAACACATCAGAACAGCCTGGAAAGTAAGACCTAAAAAAGAATGGATGAGTGTCACAGCTGAAAATTCATTTGTCTGGCCTTTCATAGAGTGGCCAAAACTGTGAGCTTAAGAGACACTAAGAGATGACTAAATTAAGATGATGAGTGTAGAAGGGAGAAATAGCGGGCTGTAGAGTGGGGACTGCTCAAAGGAGGATTTCTTGTAAACAGAAGAAACTTTAGTTGCTTATAGTCTGAGGATGGAGCCAGTTTGGAGGAGAGGCTTGAAAACATAAACCAAAGGAAGCCTGGTGTGGTGGCACATGCCCTTAGTCCCAGCACTCAGGAGGCAGAGGCAGGTGGATCTCTGTGAGACTGAGGCCAGCCTGGTCGATATACCAAGTTCTAGGCCAGACAGGGAGACCCTGTCTCAAAAAAACAAAAAGCAAATGAACAAAAAATAGAACACTCATCAAGTGCAGTAATGTTGGGCACATGTGTCTACATCCATGTCATCTCCAGCCAAGTGAAGATATGGAACATTCCTAGGACCTCAGTTCCAGTCCTAATCCCCAGCCACTTAGGTTCAACCATTCTGACAGTGTTTAGCATATGATTATTTTTGTTTCTGAACTTGATATAAATACTTATGTGTACTTTGGTTTCTGGGTTTTTAGCTCAAATGTCAATGAGAATCACTTATTTTTGACTGTGTCATCGGTTTTCAGAAGCTTGTTTGGTTTGAGTTTTTTGCCTATTTGTTTTGAGACAGAGTTTCGTGTAGCCCAGGCTTTGTAGCTAAAGATGACCCTGAATTTCCTTTACTAGTATGTACCACCACACCCAGTTTATGCACTGATGCATGTTAGGCAGCACTCTACTGACTGAGTTATATCCCCAGCCCCATGTCACAGCTTTGGTTGTGAGTTTTTCCACTGTAGGAGTGCATCCTGAGTAACCAGCTGCTCCCTTCTCTTGTCCATGGGCATTTGCACTGCTTACTGGTTGGAACCACCATAAAGAAAGCTATGATGAACGTGTGTGTGTGTGTGTGTGTGTGTGTGTGTGTATTTGATGAACATATGCATCCATTTCTCTTGAATGTATACCTCCAAGTGGAACTGCTGGGTCACAGGGTTGGCATATGCTTCACTTTGGTAAATATTGCTAAACAGTTTTTCAAATTGGCTGTTACAACTTACTCTTTAGCAGCAGGGGATGAGGATTTCAGTTGCTCCACACTCTCCTACCACCTGGTATTGTTGAAAAAAAAAACCATTATGATGGGTGAACAGTGGAGTCTTTTTATGGGTCTTTTCATGTGCTATTGATCATCTGACTAAATAACACCCATTCTTGCTGCCATGGATTCTAGTAGCAACCAATTGTCTTCTGCTTGCATGCATATTTTAGTAATTCCCCAAATTTCATTCATTCACTCATTCGTTCATTCACAAGTATTTATCTATGCCTGCCTCTGCCCTGGAAGTAAAGATAGAAGAGTGAAGATGAAGAAAGGGCTGAGCAGATAGTTCAGTTGGTGAAGTACTTCCCTTACAAACATGAGGACCTGAGTTTATCCCCTGCACCCACATAAAAGCGGGGCATGGTGCCACACACCTGTAACCTCAGTCTGAGACAGGAGGCTCCTAGGGGCTTACTGGCCAGTCAGTCTAGCTGACTCAGCAAGCTTCAGATTCAGTGAGTGACCCTGTCTCAAAAAATATGGTGGGAATGCCTGAGGAAGACTGCATCGACTTCTGGCCTACATATATGCACAAAACATGCACACACACACACACACACACACACACACACACACAAAGAGTGAAGAAGCTGGTTAAGACGACAAGCCTATAATCCCAGCACTTGGGAGGCTAAGGCAGGAGGATCTTCAGCTTGAGGCTAGACTCGGCTACATAGCAAGACCCTATCTCAAAGCATAAAACAAAGCAAAGCATAGAAAAAAAAGAGCAGAGAGGAGCCAGCATGACAGATGCGGCCCTGTTTCTATTAAACAGTACATGCTTAATGGACTACTGAGTAGACGATTGCTTGGTACTGAGTTTTGTTTTATTTTGTTTTGCTTGGGTAGGAAGCTAGAGGAAGTCTCTTTTAATGACATTTCAGTTAATTCTCATTTTTTGTTTTGTTTTTGTTTTTTGTTGTTGCTTGAGACAAGATCTCACTATTAGCCCTGGCTGGCCTGATACTTCCTATGTAGGCCAGGTTGGCCTCAAACTCACAGAGATCCACCTGTCGCTGCCTCCCAGGTGCTGGGATTAAAGGCATGCCTAGCTGACATTTCAATTGAAAGCTTAAAAAAAAAAAAAAACTTTAGAAAAAAATATCCCTGGCTAGGCACAATGGTGCATACCCATAGTCCCAGCTATATAATGGAGACTGAGCCAGGAGGATCAGTTGAGTCTATGAGTTTCAGAGCAATCTGGACAACATAATAAGACTCAGAAAAAGAACAAACAAAACAAAATCCTGGGCTGGGGATGTTGCTCAGTGGTGGAGGCACACTTAGCATGTTCAAGGCCCTGGGTTCATCCCCAGAACTCCCTGTGATTATGTGTGCAGAGAAAATGGAGCGGGGTGAGAGGGTGGGTGAAGGCAGGCAGGCAAGGCCAGCCTCATTGGGGAAACCACACTAACCCCTCCCAGAAGCTTAGCCTTTCTTGACCTTTTGCACCCTTCCTTTGGGTTTCTCTGGATGCAAAGACAAAGGTGCTGAGCTTGTGGGAAGAGCTCTGAATGCCCTATGTATACTGGTAGGTGGGGACTGAAATGCTAGAAATTTGCTCAGGTGGTGGCCAGGAAGAGAACACTGAAGTCCCTTCTTCACTAGGTGAGCCTTTTGGTGGAGCTGCTGAAAGAAGTGCCATGCCTCCACCTCCCACTTCCCTCAGCCTCCTCCATTATCCATTCTCCAAGCAGCTGCTTTGGTGAGTCACCAGAAGCCACAGGTGCTCTGTGGTTGGGTGAGAGAGCCTAGCTCTGGAGTAGAGGAACAAACCTCCCTGGGAAGGAAGCGGGCATGGAGATGCCTAGGGGTTCTGGAAATGCATAGCACACACCTGCTCCATGCCAGACAGCATCCTGGGAGGTTCAGAAAAAGTCCTTATCTTCCCACAGCTCTTGCTGTAGCTGGGTCCAGACCTGGGGATTCCTCATAGAATCCAGCCATGTAACCATGTTCCTGGTTACAGATAGGCACAATCTGAAACCGAACTGGACTGACATTTGTCAAAGCAACCTCAAGTCTGTGTTTTCCTTTTTTTTCTGGCAGTACCGAGGACCAAACCTACGGCCTCATGCATGCTAAATGAGTGATCTACCACTGAGCCACAGCCCCATGCCTTGGATTGACATTTGAAGTGACACAGAGAAGACAGAGTGCCAGTCCAGGGCCTGGTAGGCAGCAGGCCTCCTCAGTTATCAATCCTTGCCCTGCTGTGTGTTGCTGACTCTGCAGATCCCTATAGGAAAACACTGAGAGGTAGAATCTGTAAGATACTGGCAATGAAAAGTACTGTGAGTCTCCTAGTCCATCAATCTGGGGATTTCCTTCTTTGTGTCTTGGGCTTTCCCTCTTCAGAGTGAGGGTGATGGGTTTCTTATGGCTTTCCTAAGAGCACAGAACTCATTTGAACATAAAATAAGGAGGCCTTTTTAATCTGAAATTTGCTTCCTTGCTTATTTTTTTACTTTTTTGTTTTGTTTTGTTTTATTGAGACAGGGTTCTCACTATGTAGTCCCAGCTGGCCTGGAACTCACTATGTAGACCATGCTGGCCTTGAACTTACAGAGTTATGCCTGCCTCTGCCTCCCAGGAGTGCTGGGACTAAAGGCGTGTACCACCACACCCGGCTGGCTTTTTTATTTTTATTTATTTATTTATTTATTTATTTATTTATTTATTTATTGTGTGTATCCTGGAACTCACTATATAGACCAGGCTGGCCTTGAACTCACAGAGATCCGCCTGCCTCTGCCTCCCAAGTGCTGGGACTATAGGCATGAGCCAACACACCTGACTGGCTTTTTTATTTTTTAAGACATGTTTTCACATAGTCCAGGTTGACCTTGAACTTTCTGTAAAGCTGAGGATGGCCTTGAACGCCTGATCCTCCTGTCTTCACCTCTGAAGAGCTGGATTACAGGCTTACATTACCATGCCAGTGAAGTTCAAAATATAAAATGCTCCTAAAATCAAACTTTTAGAGTATCAACATAACACCACAAGTGGAAAATTCCATACCTCACTTCACGTGATGAATTACAGTCAAAATGCAGATGCACTAAAAATATTGTGTAAAATTACCTTTAGGCTATGTGCACAAGGTGTATTTGAAACAGAATTGGATTTTGCATTAAGATTTTGGACTCTGTCCCTAAGACATTATATTATGTATATGCAAATACTCCAAAATCCATGGTCAGGGGGTAGGGAGACCCTGAAAGCATTTCAGATAATGGATATTCAAGTTGTATTTGTAGAAGGGTAGGAGATAGGAAAAACTCACTATACTTTCTTAGGTTTCTAGCATAGAAAGCCAAACTAGTTCTGTTCTCTGTCCCAGTAGCATACTAATTAGTAGACTCACTTCCTCCTAACTCACACAGCACACCTCTTAGAAAGTAGAACTTACTCTCTGCTTTATTTGAGCCCACTGTCCAAATTTTTTTCTCCTCTATCCCTATGAGATCTTAACTGTAGGAAACACAGCTTTGATCAAATTCAATCTCTCTGCCTCAGTTTCCCTGTCAACCTGAGAGAGGTCTTGGGAGGCCAGTCCTTTGTCATGGTCTACAAAGGCATTTCAGGAGTCATTGAGCTTCCTGAGAAGCTGGTACTAGAGACACTGAATGGGCTGTGTCACTCCTATACCTCAGCAGGCAGCCCTTAGCCCTCACCTCTTACTTGACTGAAGCTGTTTCCATAGATGCATTCTTTCCTTCCCACTGTAGACTGCTGGAAGAGGGGACAATGGGCAGATCTTGCCCTTATAGCATCTCTAATAAAAGTCCAGTCTTTGCTTCCCATGCTCTGCCCAGCTGTCTGGCCTCGGGATAGAACATCTGGCTTTCTGTAACCTCTCTACCCCAGCTTCCAGGGCTAAAAGTCAAGAAGAACCTGCAGCTCTCTCCACCTCCAGCAGCTACCCCCGGGGTCAGCTCTGAGAAAGGAGATAGCTATGTTAGACAGCTGTTCCCTGGACCCTCCAAGGAGTGCTCCCAGCTATGGTTAGTTCCCAGGAAATACCAACACAGGCACCCAAAGCACAGCTGGGAATTCCTGGTGAGTAATGCCCCCACCTGGGGGCTGGCAGGCACATTCCAGGGACTGGGGGAAGGAGAGCCTTGGAGGGCTTGCGCTCAGCCCTAGAGTCCTGCCAGGTCACTCCCTGGAATTGATGAGATAGTTTAGGTGGAAGGCAGGATAAGGTCAGGAATAGAGCTCTGGGGTCAGCTAAGTAAACCTAGGGTTTACAAAGAAGCAACTTGAGAGGCTGGACTGGCCAGGTGGTCTGGAAGCTTCTGAGTCTCCTAAGAAAATCCTTGAACTTCTTCCTCAGCTCTAAAGACAAAGAGGGTTTGCATCTTTGGAAAGTGTTTGGCCATCTTGAATGCTAAATTTTTATAAAGGATACAAATGCTCCCAAAGGTACTTGATTTTTGTTCCAATGTTTTTTGTTGTTTTTTTTTTTTTTTTTGCGGGGGGTGGGTCTTTTTTGGAACAGGGTCTCCCTGTAGCCCCAGCTGACCTGGAACTTGCTATGTAGACCAGGCTGGCCTTGATCTCACAGATATTCTCCTGCCTCTGCCTCCAAGTACTGGGATTTAATGCTTGCACTACCATGCCTGACTTAATGTTCTTTCTTAATGTTTGAATTGGTTATTGTTTGTCTTTGTTTTTTTTAAACAATATTTTATTATTTTTATTTTATGTATATTGAGTGTATTGCCTGTAAGTATGTAAGTGCACCTATGTCGTGCAATGCCCAAGGAGGTCAGAAGAGGGCATCCGATCCCCTGGAGCTGGAACTATGGATGATTGTTAGCTGCCAAGTGGGTGCTGGGAAGTGAACTTGGGTCCTCTGCAAGGGTAGCTAGTTCTCTTAACTGCTGAGTCATCCTCTATGCCCTGGCCCTTTTTTTTTTTTTTTTTTGGTCTTTTTGAGACAGGTCTCCCTGTAGCCTCAGCTAACCTGGAACTTGCTATATAGACCAGGCTGGCCTCAATCTCACAAAGATCTGCCTGCCTCTGCCTCTGAGTACTGGGACTAAAGGCATGTGCCACAACACTCAGCCTGTGCTCAACTTTTAAAATATTCTTTCAGTGGATACAAACATAAAACTAGGTACAAATTTCTCAAGGTTTTACATTTAGCATCAACAATAAAATAAAAATAGATCCTATTTAAAATAAACTATAAAACCAGTAAGGTTCAAATGAACTACATTAATTTAAATGGGACTGTTGCTATTTGTTGAAACTAAATTGCTGCTCCCAGCAGGCCTTAGATCTGGTTGCGATGGAGCAGGTGCCTCCTCTGCACCCAGGATGACTATATTACCAGGAGCCAGGCAATGACTCAAATCTCCTGCCACGTTCCCTGCTTGAATTGCTATATCAGGGTGGCTTTTAACCTTCACTTGGTGGGAACACACTATAATGCATGAAGTTCCCCTCTGCTGTTTTCTCATTAACACTCAACAATTAGAGTTTAAAACAACAACTTTAAAATAAAAAAAAAAAAACAACTCTTGGTACCAACATAATCCTTCTCTCAAGTTTCAGGGCCTCGCACTTTGCTTCATCTCACCTCCTTCACAAAGTAGCTGCACATACTCACTCCTTCATTTAGCCATTGCTTACTGAGTTACCTGCTACGTGCCAGGCACTGATCTAGGTATGCAGGACAGATCAGGAATCAGAATGCACACCGCTCTGCCCATGAAGTGTACATTTCAGTGGAAGAAGCTGAAAAATAAATAAGACCTTGTCTCAAAAAAAGGAAAGGAAAGGAAAAAAATAAAGGAAATCTAAAAGGATGGGGACAGAAGGTGGTTACTTTCTTCTAGAGGGGTGAGGGTGAGGGAGATAGCTCAGTGGGTAAAAGAGCTTGCTCCTCAAGCATGAGGAGCTAAGTTTGAATCCCTGTGTAAAAAGGTAAACATGGCAGTGTATGTGTCTGTAACTCCAGCCCTGTGAAGGGCAGAGACGGGAAGATGATTGGCGCTCACTGGCTGCCAGCCTAGCTCCAGGTTCATGAGAGACACTATCTCAGAGGAACAAGGCAGATGATAGAGCAGTACACCTAACATCCTCTTTTGGCATATACCACACACAAGTACACCATACACACACACACCTGACATCCTCTTTTGGCATACACCACATACAAGTACACCATACTCACACACACATATTCATACACACATACACATACACAAAATAATTTTTTTTTTTTTTTTTTTGGTCTTTTTGAGACAGGGTCTCCCTGTAGCTCCAGCTGTCCTGGAACTCACTATGTAGACCAGGCTGGCTTTGAACTAGCCTGCTTCTGCCTCCCGTGTGCTGGGACTAAAGGCGTGCACCACCGTGCCCGGCATCAAAATAACATTTTTAAAAAGATTAAAATGGGGTATTGAGGTCTTGAGTAGTGCCATTTAAGACCTAGTGAGATGAGGAAACCAGAGCGTTCCGGGAACGGCCAGGTCACAGTGGCTAGGGTAGCACGAGTGGCAAACTGAAGAGCACAATGCAAATGCAGGGACACTACATACCAGTTGTTTTGCTGCCCAGCAACTACTTCCTGCTACTGGCAACTGTGCCTAGATATTCCTCTAGGGAAACCGCCCCTGTGCTTCAGGTAGGGATGACCCCACCCCTACCAGCCCTGGCCAATCAGGAACTACGCAGTTGCCTTAGGAATGGCTATGACACCCAGTCAGAATGAAGGGCAGCAGTGAGCCTCTTGGTCGCACTCCTGAGGGAGATAGTCTTTTCCCCTGAGATCCCAGCTACTAGCTTACTGAGACTGAAGTCACCATATGGAAGCTGAAAAAAAATTTTTTTTTTAAGAGAAGAAAAGTTGGGACTGGAGAGATGGCTCAACAGTTAACACTGGCTTTTCTTGCAGAAGACCCGGGTTCGAATCCCAGCATTCACATGGCAGCTGACAACTGTCTGTAACTCCAGTTCCAGGGGGTCCGACAGTCTCTTCTGCCCTCCGCGGGCATTACACAACACGGGTGCACTTACTTACATGCAGGCAATACACGCATGCACAGAAAATAAAATATAAAATATTTTTTTTTAAAAGAGGCGCCGGGCGTGGTGGCGCACACCTTTAATCCCAGCACTTGGGAGGCAGAGGCAGGCGGATCTCTGTGAGTTCAAGGCCAGCCTGGTCTACATAGTG